ACGCCCCCGGCTCTGGCCAGAGGAGCACACGCATTTCAGAGACGGGCTGCCCTGCTCGTGAGTCAGACAGCCGGGGCCTCGACGTGCGCGGCTCTGGAACTGGGGTGTGACAGTGACACCCCCCGACAGGCTCAGTCTGCGCCAGTGCAGGAGCTGTTCCCGAGCTGACACCTGAGCCGGCCACGTGACCCGGATCTGGAGCCACGCGCGCCGAAGGAAAACCTTTCGCCCCCTGCGTTCTCCTTCCCGCACAGCCTTCCAGGTGGCCTTTCGTGGGCGGACAGGGAGGAACAGGACTCTCCTCTGTGACCTCAGATGTGCACCGAGTCCTCAGATGTCCCCAGCCGGCCCCACGTCCTGTCCCTGAATCATCCCGAAGCCCAGCTCACGGGCGCCCCACGGGAGGCATGAGGCTGGGCTTGTAAGGAGGTTCCCTGAAGACCCAGCAGGGGAGCTGCCTTGAGCCCCCAGACTTCTGGCCGCCTTTGGGCTGTGGCTCCCTGGAGATCGAGTGTAAGGGAGACGTCGGTGTCCCGGGGTTTGGGGTGAAGCAGATCTGAGCCTTGTATTGTCTCCTGGTCACTGGCGGGTCCCCAGAAGTCTGGGGCGGGCAGAGGAGTGGTGGACTGAATTCCCACGGGTTTGCTCTGAGGATAAGAGGACACCCAGGCAGCCCCTCCTACGGTAGCTACTAAGTGCCACACACTGGTATGTGCCAGGAGCTGTTTTAACTGCTAGGGAAACGGCATTGAATAAAACAGTAAAAAACGTATACTGTTAAAAAGTGATTAAAGAAGGCAATTTAGGTTGCCTTCCACTTCATGATGTGTTACATAAGACAAACTTTGGACCTCGTGAAGTGGACAGTCTGCATTCGGATAAGTAAATGGGTGGAAGGCAGGAAGCTAATACAGGTAAAGTGGAAAGTGCTTGATTGCTGGGGCCACACTGCCAGCCTTGTTTGGGGTGAGAAGGCCGGGCTGGCTTGGCATTTGGGGATAGACTGGTTGTTTTTTTTGGTCAAGCAGAGCAACAGGGACACGAAAGTGATCTGAGTTTCGGTGTGCTGTCTTGGCACTAGAAGTATCACCCTGGAGCTGAACATGCTAGCGGAGGGACAGGCAACTACCAAAATAAACAAAGACACACTAGTGATTAGTGATGATCATTCACCAGGAGAGTGATCATTCTGGGAAGGGAAGGGGAAGTGTTGGGAGAGTGACCAGAGGTGTGATGTGATTTATAATAAATATATATTTGATCTTCATCCGCTGGTCCTGGCACAAGTCTCCTAAAGCCCTTGGGATTTCACATGCGATGAGAGCAACAGAAGTTGGTCTTTTGTTGTTATTGAGGTGACTTTTGGACCTCACTGAGGAGGGGGGCTGGTCTCCAGAACCAGCCTTGTGACTAGAGGTTGGAATTTCAGTCTCACCTCCTGGCATCAGGGAGGGGAGAGGGGCTGGAAGTGGTGTAATCAGCCCCACCTAAGGAATGAAGCCGCCATAGAAACCCCAAATGGTTTGTGGAGCTTCTGGGTTGGTGAACACGTGATGCGGGGAGAGTGGCACACTCAGAGCGTGGCAGCTCCAAGCTGTCCCCAGACCTTGCCCTTTTTATTTCTTCCCAAGTCATATACTTTTACATTTTTTTGTTTGTTTTTTGTTGTTAATTCTCTCCTGAGGATATTTTTTTTCTTAGCTTTTCAGAGTGGAAGGAAGGAATGGAGTAGAGAGAGAGAGATGTTGATGCCAGAGAGAACATCTACTGGTTGCCTCCCACATGTACTCCGGCTGGTACTTGGGCCGACAGTCAAACCACTGAGCGCACTGCTCAGGGCCTTTTACGTTTTTTAATTGATTCTAGAGAAACGTTAATTTGTCATTCTACTTATTTATGCATTCATTGGTTGCTTCTTTTTTTTAAAGTCTTTTTTTTTTAATTATTTATTTTAGAGAGAGAAAGGGGGAGAGAGAAACATCAATTTGTTGTTCCACTTGTTTATACATTCATTGGTTGATTCTTTTATGTGCCCTGACTGGGGATAGAATCTGAAACCTTGGCATATCGGGACAATGCTCTAACCAACTGAGCTACGCAGCAGGGCCCTAAGTTATATTCTTTCATAGTAAACTGGTGATCTAGTGTGTAAAATGTTTCTGAGTTTTGTGAGCCATTCTAGCAAATTAGTCGAACCCAAGGAGGTGTTCAATCTATAGCTAGTTGGTCAGAAGCACAGCTGACAATTAGGCCTGATGGCTGCCCCCATCCCACCTAAGAAAGCTTAAGAATGCTACAGAAACACTGAAATAAGCCCTGGAGGTTGAAGAAAAACGCCACGAGGTAGAAGTCCAGTATATAAATGTCATCAGACATGGTAAATGTGATGTTAAGTAATTCTATATAATAAAAGGGTAATATGCAAATTGACCCTAACAACAGAATGACTGGGAATGACTGGTCACTATGATACACACTGACCATCAGGGGGCAGACGCTCAATGCAGGAGCTGCCCCCTGGTGGTCAGTGCACTCCCACATGGGGGAGCTCTGCTCAGCCACAAGCCAGGCTGACAGCTGCCAGTACAGTGGTGGTGGCGGGAGCCTCTCCCGCCTCCTCAGCAGCACTAAGGATGTCCGACTGCAGCTAGGCCTGCTCCCCGCTGGCAAGTGGACATCCCATAAGGGCTCCCGTGCTGCCAGAGGGATGTCTGCCAGCCAGCTTAGGCCCAATCCCCCAGGAAGCGGGCCTAAGCCAGCAGGTGGACATCCCCCGAGGGGTCCCAGATTGTGAGAGGGCACAGGCCGGGCTGAGGGGACCCCCCCCCCCAGTGCACAAATTTTTGTGCACTGGGCCTCTATTTTATCAATCTCTTGAAAAGGTAACTGCTTAGAGCATAGGTAATAATGTATTATGGGGTTCATCACATATGTATAGATAAAATGTGTGACAAAAATGGCACATGCCCAGCCGGTGTGGCTCAGTGGTTGAGCGTCGACCTATGAGCCAGAAGGTCACAATTCATTCTAGGTCAGGGCACATGCCTAGGTTGTGGGCTCGATCCCCAGTAGGGGGCCTCCAGGAGACAGCTGATCAATGATTCTCATCATTGATGTCTATCTCTCCCTCTCCCTATCTGAAATCTACAAAAATATATTTTAAAAAAATGAGCAAAAGACACATTTCACTGAGTAGATATAAATGCAGAAAAGCCCATGAAAAGATGATGTTAAACATTGTCAACCATTAGAGATATGCGAATTAAAACCCCAGTGAGACATCATTTACACACCTGTCAGAACAGCCTAAATAAAACAGGAGCACTATCAAGTGCCTGTCAGGATGTGGAAGAAACGATTGATCTCATTCATTGCTGATGGGAATGTAAAATGGTCCAGCCACTTTGGAACAGTTTGGCAGTTTCTTCTAAGACAACATACCACCACCACATGGCAATTTAATTCTTAGACATTTGTCCCAGATAAATGAAATGTATGTTCACACAAAAACTGTACATGAGTTTTCAGAGCAGCTTTATTTGTAAACACCAAAAACTGGCAACAACCAAAATGTGCTCCTACAGGTAACTGGTTGAACACACTGGCATAGCCATACAGCAGCAAAAAGGAATGAACAACTGATATATGCAACAGCTTCAATGCATCTCAAGCAATTGAGTGGAAAAAGCCAATCTCAGAAGGTCACAAACTATGCTTCTATTTGTATAATACTAGAGGCATGATGCACGAAATTAGTGCATGGGTAGGGTCCCTAGGCCTGGCTGGCAATCAGGGCCGATCCGTGGGGCGACTGGCAGGGCGATCGGGGGTGGGGACCCCCCACTGGCACCTGCCTTGGCAGGCCTAGTGCCACCTGTTTGCGGGCCCCGCCCCCGCCTGTTGCCCCCCCTCTGCAGGGCGACCAGTGGGGCAATGGGACCCTGCTGGCATGGGGCCTGCGGGCAGCTTCTGTGTTGAGCGTCTGCCCCCTGGTGGTCAGGGTGCTCCCACAGCCAACCTCCTATGGCCAGCCAACTGCCATGGTCCCTGCGGCCAGCCCCAATCAACCCCTGGTGCTAAACCATTTGTAGATGACCTGCTTCTGAGTCGGGGTTTCGTACTAGCAGAGCAGCTCGCTCGCTCTGATCTATTAAAGGCCCGCCCTCAACACAAGGGTTTGTCTCACTCCTGTCCTCTCCCTTCCTTGGGGGCCGCCCGCCCACCTGCCACAGTGCCAGCGCAGCGGAGAGGGAAGGAGGATCTCACTCCCATCCTCTCCCTTCCCCAGGGGCTGCCTGCCCGCCCACTGTGGTGGTGGTGCGGTGGCAAGGGAAGGAGTGGAGGCGGGGAACCGAGAGGTGGCGGGACGCCTGCCCCGGTGACCATTGCCTCCTCTCCTGACCCCACCAATGCACGAATGTCGTGCACTGGGCCTCTAGTAATAAATAAAAAACCAAAACAACCCAAAGGGGCACAGGAAGCTTTCAGAGGTGATGTTTATTACCCCGGATGGTGAACTATATACAATAAAGATGTGCAGTGTTTGTTTTTTTAAGTATGTTTTTGATTTAAGAGAGAGAGAGAAAAACATCAATCAGTTGCCTCCTGCACAAACCCCAACTGAGGTTAAAACCTACAATCTGGGTTTAGTATATTTCTCTCTTTTTTTTAAAAAATATATTTTATTGATTTTTTACAGAGAGGAAGGGAGAGAGATAGAGAGTTAGAAACATCGACGAGAGAGAAACATCGATCAGCTGCCTCCTGCATACCCCCTACTGGGGATGTGCCCACAACCAAGGTACATGCCTTTGACCAGAATCGAACCTGGGACCCTTCAGTCCGCAGGCTGACGCTCTATCCACTGAGCCAAACCAGTTAGGGCTGGGTTTAGTATATTTCAATGAAATTGTTAAAAAATATTTCTACCCTTTTTCACTTTAACATGGACATTAGAAAATACAAAATCACACACATGGCCTGCATCATGTTGGGACTCTAGATGGACAATGCTCTAGAGCAGCAGTTGCCAACCTTTCGGACCTCACGGACTGGACCACCGGATGGTGGCCTAGAGCAGGGGTGGGGAACATTGAGCCCTCAGGCCGTATAAGGTCCTCGAAATCATTTGGTCTGGCCCTCCCAAGGCATTAGGGGTGAGTTAATTGTTTGACCAAATATAGCAGGCTAATTTTTAAGTTGGTAATTTTGTATGGCCTGCAAATGATGTTATAAATATCCAAATAGCCCTTGGCAGAAAAAAGGTTCCCCACCCCTGTTCTAGAGGGACAATCAGTGATAGTCACCATCTACTGAGAGCAGCATACTAAGACCCTGGGGTTGGGAACTTCCCTGTATATTTTATTCAGCAATGTAACGTTTTCTCGAACAAATACAGTGAAAATCAATTTCAATGGTTATTATACCAGAAAGACTCAGAACCTTGAATTCTTATTTGCCAGGTCTTGGTTGAGGGCTGTCACAACCTTGAAAAAAATTTCAGGGTAACATCTTTACTGAAGTTACATTTTGTTTTAATCTGACAGATCACCTAACCCAAAAGGCCACATCAATTAAATGACATCCAGTTTTACTTTGATGTTCATAGCTGCCAGTTCAGCTACAAAATACCGAAAAACGTAAGGCACAGAGACAGTGTCGATAGTGTCACTGCGATTGCACACAGTACAGTTGTATTTTCTGTTGCGCATGGCTGACCACGAAGGGGGTGGCTTCTCTAACAGCGGAGAGAGCAGACTGCCACACTTCACACACACATGGGCTACCGACCGGTCAGAACAGTTAAAGAGGCGGTCGTGAAGGAGAAAAGAAGTTCCATGAGCTAACAGAGCATCCCTCTCCATTTCCCCAAAACGGATCCCACCCTGGACGTTTCTCCCCCCGATGGGCTGGTTAGTGACTCTGTCTCTGGCTCCGGTGGTTCTGACCTGGAATTTGTCTGAGACCATGTGGCGTAACCGCTGGTAATAAACCACGCCAATGAAAATATCTGCTTCCAGTTCCACCCCACTGATGCCACTGTACAGCCTCTCAGTGCCATAGAAGTTGTAGCCAGCAGCCTTCAACATCTCACCAAAGTACTCCAAGGCCGAGTTCTCCTCTGAAAAGGTGAAGGGTGTGGCATCATGGCAGAGACCATGCAGAGCTGCAGACTTGCCCGCCATGCTCTCGATTAACATACCAATAGTCATTCGGGACGGGAACCCATGAGGGTTGAACAGAATGTCTGGGACCATCCCACTTTCGGTAAAGGGCATGTCCTCGGTTGGCCACAGTCTGCTCAGGATGCCCTTCTGCCCATGCCGGCTGGCAAACTTATCTCCAATGGTTGGGTTCCGAGGGATTCTCATCGTGATGCAAACACATTTAAATTTTCCACTTCCAGTGTCATTACTACACACTTTGATGTTGTCCACAATACAATTTTCTTTACTCCTAGAAAAAATTAAACCATATAAAAGGTCAAACTATTTCTTTAAGCTTATAGAGGCATATAAGTTTTATATATAACTAGTGCTTTATAAAAAATTCAAAAAACAGTCTTATCTTTCTTTTCCCTGGAAGTATCTATGAATAGGGCTGCTGGTTATATTAACTACAGAACTCTGTTCCTCTAAACAACTATTATGAAAGTACTAAAGGACTGGTACACGAATTCATGCACAGGTGGGGTCCCTCAGGGTGGCCTGCAGGGATCAGGCCCAAACCAGCAGTCCAACACTGCTTGGTGCTCCCACTCATTCCGACCCCGCTGTGCCTGCTGCAGTCAGTCCCAATCGGGAGAGGCTCGCATTGCAGCAGCAGTGCTTGCCAGCTGTGAGCCCTGCATCTGGCGCCCATCCCGAGGGGGGTGGGCGGGGGGCCGAGATGCGATCGGCCCTCTGGGCGGGTGGTGGGAAGCCCTTGCTGGCCCAGGATCTGGATCTGTCCCACTGACATTCACGCCAGTTTTCATGCCAGTTGTTGGGAGTCACCTAGTGGCCACTTTTATATCAAGGCTGACTTCCAGGAGGCCTGCAGCACTGTCGGGATCCTGCCAGCAGGGCCAGTCCATTGGTGCCTGGCCCGTTCTCCGGAGATCGGACCTGCAGGACTACTGAGGGAGTGAGTGGCTGCTACTGGGCTGGTGGGCCGCCGGGAAGGGTCGGTCAGCTGAGCGGCGCTCTCGCTGTGGGAGTGCACTGACCACCAAGGGGCAGCTCCTGCGTTGAACATCTGCTCCCTGGTAGTCAGTGCGCATCATAGCAACTGGTTGTTTGTCGCTTAGGCTTTTATATATACTATAGACGAGAGGCCCGGTGCACAAAATTCGTGCAAGAGTAGGCCCTCGCAGCCCCAGCAGCTGCCTCAGCCCTTGCAGCCGCGGCTTCATCCAGAAGGGTGTCCGGACCGTCATTCCACTATTTGGCTATTCGGTCGATTTGAATATTACGCTTTTATTATAGATGATGAAGACCTACTGTTGAATCCACTCTTACAGATGTAAAGTAAGCTAAAAATTTATTTTTAACAGGAGGCATAATAAAATTTTAGCTGGGAAGTATTCCTAACATGCATGAGAGAGATGATCAAGTCTCAATAATATACTTTTAAATTAAGCCGGGAGAACCCTCACCAATTATAAGAGACTGACAAGTAGAAAAGCAAAGGGAGTAAGACAGCAAACTTTGTCTCATTTTGTAAATGCCAACTCAGTTACGATTGAGTCAATAACAACTATCACTTCTATTTTCTCCAAAAATTTCCTGTTAAAAGATTACTTTCAACAGCCCCCAGCAGTTCACTAAGAATAGCCTTTAAAATGAGCACCTGGCACTGCAACTTACTTGTAGAACATCACAGAGCTCTCGCCAGTGTTGAGGTTTACATAGCTGTAATAGGGATCTCCATACTGCAGCTGTGCTCCAATAAATGGCAATCCATCCTCATCTAACTTCTGCACAGTCCGCGGGTCACCAGGTTTGACTCCAAACACCAGACTATCATCTCCTTGTTTAATTTTTTCAGCGAGATCTATGAACTCAGATTTGTAGACACTTCCATGGGCAAAACCTCGTTCCCAAGAAGCCTTATTCACAATCTATGAAGTCAAAGAATCAAGGGAGTGCAGAAAAATGAGGATTTTTCAAAATAAAACTGGTCATAATTATACTTGATTTAGGTTACCTCGAATTCGATTTAAAATCTATCCACATTTGCTCAGTCACCTACACTACTAAAACCCAAGCACTTAATTTATAATTAAATAGTCCAAAACCCAATCATGCACAAACACAAAAGGTAAAAATATCCAACACTACTTTATATTCACTCGACATTAATTCAACTACACAGGCAATATGCATGAAATATGCATATATGAATATTTAGTTCATAACCCTCAAGGCTACCACTTTTCATTCAGAGCAGGGACTGACCATTTAACAGGACACTCACTCACCAAATACTAGGCACTCGAGGACACAGTGACCTCACAGTAAAGTTAAATTTTAAAATTAAATATTAAAAGAATGGAACTACTCTTGGTAAAACTTACCATGGCATCTTCCATATCGTAGCCAGTGTAAGAAATAACAGCAACGATGGCATTGGTCCCAATTGGATAGTTGTCCATGTCATAGTGATCATACATGCACGGCCTCACCAAAGGGCTTTGTGGGGTCTGAAGACGATACAGCTTATTATCGGATCGGTCTTGATAAGTGAGAAGTGGGAAGCCCATAGTTTGTTTACCTACAAAGGGAAAAACACCTTAGCCTTTTGTTTTTCCCTTGATTATAAAGGTGATATTTAAAATTGGGAGCAACTAAATATTCACCATAGAGGAATGAACAGATCAGTCATGGTGGTTATGCTTTATAGTGTGAAGATGAACGAACCTGCATGTATCACAACCAGACCATGAAAACAGTGCTGAGAGGGAAAAAGGACAGAAACTCATTTAATATGATACCATTTATGTATATCTATATAACACACCCCAAACAATTCTATACCTGGTTTATGGACACATATATAATAAAAGGGGGATGTTACTGGGGAAGAGTAAGGGTATAAGGGGAGAGTAGCTATTATCTAATAACTTAAAAAAATTTTTTTTTATTGATTTGAGAGTAAAGGAGAGGGAAAGAGATAGAAACATCAATGATGAGAGAAACACCATTGATTGGCTGCCTCCTGCACGCTCCACAATGGGGATCGAGCCCGCAACCCAGGCATGTGCCCTTGACCGGAATGCAACCCGGGACCCTTCAGTCTACAGGCCAACGCTCTATACACTGAGCCAAACTGGCTAGAGCTCTAATTACTTTCTTACACACAAAGCAAAATGTCACTATTTGTTAATTCTGGGTACTGGCATACAGGGGGTAGGTAAGAGTCTTCTTTATTCTACTTCTCAGTACAGAGAATCAATTCAACACAAATGACTTTTTAAAAAAGATTTTAAAATTGATCTTTAGAGAGAGAGGAAGACACAGGGAGGGAGAGAGAGAAATATCGACATGAGAGCAAAACATCTATTGGCTGCCGCTTGTAAACCACCTACTGCGGACTGAGCCCAAAACCTGGGCATGTGACCTGACCGGAATTGAACTGGCAATCTTTGGGTTCATGAGAGGACACTCAACCAACTAAGCCACACTGGCCAAGGCTCAACCAAAATGATTTTAAAAACTAAAATAAATATACATGCCTAGTGGAATTCTTTATAATATAGAAACGGAGACTTCCAGCTTCCAGTTGTAGAGGGTTCCTTCTTCACAACCACCCTCAGCACATAAGACCCAGGAAAAAAAAAAGTGACCACAAACAAATATACACACCACCTGAAAGTATTGTAAAGTAACCAAAATCAGTCAGAAACTAGAGAGGAATTTACATTCGGGCAAAAGAAACTGCAATGGGTGAATTTCCAGGTCAGGTTTTGTTCTGTGGTTTGTTTGGTTTTTTGCCTAATGGCCCAGTGTAGTGGCTAAAACTTGGACAGAAACCCATAGTCTGACTGGCTTTAAGAACCAAGAAACGTAAGAGTTCACAGCACTACAGCAACTAAAAACTGAAGGGGGGGAGGGAGGAGGGGAGGGATTTCAGGAAGGAGAGAACCACACAGGGAAAGCCTTAAATTCTGCATATGAACCAATCCCAGATCTTTGGTGGAGTCCTGAATTATACATGCATGGAACATTTCCAAGCAGCCCTCAAAAGTGACTTCAGCTGCTTTGTTTAGCTAAGTTATCTATCAGTTAAATCTAAAAACCAATCCTCTTCAAAGGAACATAACAGAATCCATGGTCTTCAAAACATATCACCTGTTCACAATGTCCATGATATGATCCAATATTACTAGATATAAACGACACAGAGAATCAATACCCATACTCAAAAAAAAAATGCAGTGAATGGAGACATCCTGAGATGACCCAGACATTGGAATTAATAGACAATTATTATTTTAAAACACTGGTTGTATAACTGCTGAAAGATATAAAAGAAAATATGTTCACAATGAAGATGAAATTCTAGAGAAAATTAAAACTATAAAAAAGAAACAAATGGAAATTTTAGGCTAGAAAATGAAATATCTGAAATAATGTGGTGGTTCCATGGTGTAATGGTTAGCACTCTGGACTTTGAAATAGAATAAAAAGTCTGAATATGATGACAGATGAATAAAAATGATTCAATGTGAAGAGAAAAAGATAAAAAAAGAGAAAAGAAACCAATGGTTGATGGGACAGCAATGATTAACATACATGTTGCATAACTGAAATCTCAGGAGACAGAATGGACAGCAGCAATTTTTTAGAAACAATGGCAGAAAACTACAAATTTAAAACAAACAGATTTAAGAAGGCCAGCAAATGCAAAATAAGACAAACACAAGGAACATCATATGTAGGCATACCATAGTCATTCTGTTACAAACCTAAAAATAAAGAGAAAATCTTAAGGACAGAGAAAAAATAAAACTTAAAAAAGGGGAAACAACCTAAAACTGATGACTTTTAATTAGAAATGAGAGACCAAGAGTAGACAGCTAGCCTGGCCAGATATCTCAGTTGACTGGAGCGTTGTCCCATACACCAAAGGTTGCAAGTTTGATTTCCTGCCAGAGCACATACCTAGGTTGCGAGTTAGATCTCTGGTCAGGGTGAATATGGGAGACTGCCTATCGATGTTTCTCTCTATATAAAAATATCCTTCTGTGAGGATTAAAAAAAGAGTACACAGCTCAAACAGTATTTCATGTGCCAGAAAAAATCTTGTCAAATCAGAATTGTATACCTAGTTCCTTCAAGGGAAGAGGAAATAAAGATATTTCAAAGCAATAAAAACTAAGAAAATTTTAGCCAGCAACTGGCAACAGTGACAAATGCTAAAGAAAGTTTTCAGGCCTAAGGGAAATTACACTCCAGGAAAATGAAACCATGTATTTGATACAATTAGTCAAGTCTGAATAAGCACTACACAATAGTGTGGTACTATCAGGCAGGAATGAACAGCACTGGAGAGAGAATGACGTGGACGGCCTGTAGTTGTCAAAAATGGAATTTCAAGATCTCAGACCAACCCAAGTCATTGAACATTTACAAAATTACCCTTTTCTTCAAAAGTGTCAATAACAAGAAAGACAAAGAAAGACTAAAGTTATGTTCTAACTTAAAGAAGACTAAAGAGACAACGGAATACAATGTGCGATTTTGGACTAGGTGCTACACAGAAAAAATTGCCAGAAACCCTGTTTATGGCCAACCAGTATGGTTCAGTGGTTGAGCATTGCCCTATAAACCAGGAGGTCACAGTTTGATTCTCAGTCAGGGCACATGCCCAGGTTGCAGGCTTGATCCCCAGTAGGGGGCGTGCAGGAGACAGCTGATAAATGATGCTCTCATCATTGATATTTCTATCTCTCTGTCCCTCTCCCTTCCTCTCTGAAATCTATAAAAATATATTAAAAACAAAACAAACAAAAACCCCCTATTTTTGGTACAACTGGTCAAAGTCTGAATCAGACCCATAAAGTAGTATGATAAGCCCTAGCTGGTTTGGCTCAGTGGATAGAGTGTTGGCCTGCAGACTGAAGGATCCTGGGTTCGATTCCAGTCAAAGGCACATACCCAGGTTGCAGACTCGATCCCCAGGGTGTGCAGGAGGCAGCCAATCAATGATTCTCTCTTATCATTGATGTTTCTCTTTCTCCCTTCCTCTCTGAAATAAAAAAATATATATTTTTTAGAAAGTATAATACCAATATTAAATTTCCTGATTTTAATTGTCCTTGTTTATACAAGTGAACATCCTTATTTAGATATAGACACTGAAATATTTAGGGTAAAGGGGCATCAAGCCTGCAACTTACCTTCAAATGGAAATAGTACAAACAGACCAAAATATTAACAATATGTTGGTAAAGGGTTTATGGGTGTTCTCTGTACCAGTCTCACAACTTTTCTAAATTTGAAATTATTTCCAAGTAAAATAAGTAACAAACATGTCTCTTTTGTAAGTGTGGTTGCTACCATCCCCATGCCACTTACCCATCTGGCACTGGTACATGTTCCTTGGACTCTGGTTGTGATCAGAGAAAGGGATAAAGTTGGCGATCACACTCAGCAGGCTGTGAGGGAAGAGTTCCTGGTGGGTGGTCACTCCAGCAAAAACCTCATCCTCGAAGATGGCAATATTCATGAAGAGCTGGAGAGAAGGATGAATGCCAACACATTAACTCTTTCTCTGAGTTCAGTACTCAAAGACTTGAAAGGAACCTTCCCACCTGGTATAGTGAACACTGAAGGGACCCACAGGAAGCCTCAGTCAGAATGACCACTTGCCTTTCATACCTCATTATAAATCTACCCTAGACCAATTATGAAGAGGCATTTGAAGAAAGACATTTTTTAATTTTTATTTTTAAAATATATATTCTTTTATTGATTTCAGAGAGGAAGGGAGAGAGAGAGAAACATCAATGATGAGCGAGAATCACTGATCTGCTGCCTCCTGCACGCCCCCTACTGGGGATTGAGCCTGCAACCCAGGCATGTGCCCTTGACCAGAATCAAACCTGGGACCTTTCAGTCCATAGGCTGGTGCTCCATCCACGGAGCCAAACCAGCGAAGTAAAGAAAGACATTTTTAAAGTAGTACAAAGCGCAGAGCTTTGCAACTGCAAAGATGCAGGGAGAGACTGTGCATGAGGGAATGGTCCAGCCTCAGCATCCGAAGGAGCTTGGGATGCAGGTGACGAGACACCAGCCTTCTCAGGCTCAATGGTGGGCGGAGTGAGGGGGCACATGAAAACTGCTTCCCGCTGGGCACAGAGGAAGCAGAAGTAGTTCTGGCTTTCTTTCAAGTGCCAAATTGTTATTAAACAGTAACACTTAAAGAAAGCAACAGTTGTCCTAGCCAGTTTTGCTCAGTGGTTAGAGTGTTGAGCACAGGCCTGTGGACTGAAGGGTCACAGGTTTGATTCTGGTCAAGGGCATGTACCTGGGTTGCAGGTTCAATCCCCGGCCCCAGTCAGGGTGCATGTGTGAGGCAACCAATCGATGTCTCTCTCTCACATCAATGTTTCTCTCTCTGTCTCTCCCCTTCCCTTCAACTTTCTCTAAAAACGAATGGAAAAAATATCCTCGGGTGAGGATTAACAAAAAAAATAATAATAATTAACAGCTGAAGTCTGTGGAAGTTGTATAAGACACAATCACATATACCCACTACACACAGTCCACATACCTGCTCCATAGTTCCAATCAACTCTTCTTTGCCCAATTCCAAGTTTCGCACAGGCCGCACCAGCCTACAAGGAGTGGTGAAAAGGTACAGTCCTGGGTACAGACTTGGTTTTCCTGTCATGGGGACAAGGGCCACCTCCATCCAGGGAGGGATTCTTTTTTCTCTCAACACCTGTTTTCAACAAAAAAGAAAGTTCAAACCAGAATGACTAATATGTTTTACATCTACCCTGACACCTGGGGTCCCAGACCAGGAAGAAAAAATAGCTATAAAGGCCATTACTAAGGCAACTGGTGTAATCTGAGTGTCAGCTGTGGATTCTAGCAAACTGACCCTCCCTGAATTTGGTAAGTGTACTGTGGCTATTAAAGAGAAAAAGTTAGAAAAAATACACTGAAATTTTTATGGAAATGGAGACATGTCTGCACACTACCCTCAAATGGTTCAGAAGAAAACATATATACATCTACACTAATAAAAGGGTAATATGCTAATTAGACCGGATCGACCGGCCATCCTACGGACGTCTGACTTCCTTCCAGACAAAGCCATGGTGGTGGGGGCCGAGGCAGAAGCAGTTAGGGGCAAGATCAGGCCGGCAGTGGAGGGCAGTTGGGGGCAAGATCAGGCCGGCAGGGGAGGGCAGTTAGGGGTGATCAGGCAGGCAGGCAGGTGAGCAGTTAGGAGACAGTGGTCCCAGATTGCGAGAGGGATAGCCCCAATTGGAGAGGGTGCAGGCTGGGCTGAGGGAACCCCCCTCTCCCCTCATGCACGAATTTCATGCACCGGGCCACTAGTATATTTATAAAGAGCACACAAATAATTGGTGGATCTGGGTAATGGGCATATGGGAGTTCTCTGTGCCAAGACTCTTGTTAGGAGGAAATTCCAAAGAATGTCCTTCTCCTTGATTTTTTAAAAATATATTTTCAAGACCCAGATAGCAACAGGATATGTATGACTTACATATCTCGCATATCTTTAACATTACTTGAAATATAAAGTTCCTATTTTGATGTCCCCTACATGCCACTAGAATTTACAAAAAGTTAAAATCTGTTAGGTTAGCAGACTAGGGCCTCAGTGAAACTACTTAAAAAAAAAGGTGTATGGGTGAAATATCTACCACTGACCCCAACCTCTGAGGCTATGAGGTCAGTACCAGGGGATGTCAGGTACTCTCGGAATGAGCTTCTGATCCCCAGGCCTACGAGCACTCTAGACTGCCTGGGACCACCTCATCAACTAGAAAAGGACTGAAACCCAAGATCCAGGGATAGAGCAATTCACAAAGACTCATGGTCACCTTAAAATGCCGGAGAGAAGCTGCAACACCAGCAGCAAGCTCCTTATCTACCCAGCCAACCATGACACCGTCCAGCAGGACAGGGTAGCACTCGGCGTAAGGTCGGTGAGGCGTTCCATCAACTGGAGTAACCCCTGTGGAAGGAACAGACAGGGTCATCACATCAGGATGCCTTTTCCAACTTAGAAATTCCCTCCAGATAGGTCTGCAGCTGTATCATCATTTAGATATCTAGTTATCTTGTCTCTAAACCAGAATGTTTTTCATTTCTTAAGTTTCCAAATCATTTCAGCAAGGACACACAAGAACTAGTGACCTGGCCTGTGGGGAGAGCAGCAGGGACAGGAGTGCAAGGAGGCTTTCACTGTGCACCTTTTCTATGTTCATTTCTGAGGGTTGTAAACATAACTTTTCCCAAAAATCTAATTACACTTGATTGCCATTATTCAGAGATTCCCTATCTGCAAATTTGCCTACTTGCTAAGATTGTCTGTAACTCCAGTATCAACACCTCAAGGCGCTCTTGGGGCCACTCGGTGAAAAACCTGCATCACCTGCGCACAGGCTCCCAGCTATGGTCACACGTCTTCCTGTCTCAGCTCAGACTGTCAAGCGTCCTCTGGGCAGTCTGCTCAGTGCCACGTGGACAGCATGCTTGTGCCTTCTGTTGGTGGTTTCACTGTTTAATCGGCCCCTGAACTCTGCGCTGGCCAGTGTGGCTGAGCACAGGCTGTGTAAGCCGCAGGAAGAGTGCGTGTTAGAGAAGCTTAGTGCTGCTGGCTGAGACCCCGATGTTAGTGAATCACAACGTTAAATGAGGCGCCCCTGTGAGCAATGGCTCTTCCCTAAATTCGGGGTTAGTTGTGACTTTGTAAAACAGAATACCACAAACATCAAGATCCAACTGTAATTAAGTACAAAAGAATACTCTTCCACAATCCATAATCCACCTGCTGAAGACAGGAAGTGTTTTACCAAGTTCACAGGTCACCCGCTTGGTGTTAGGCATTTTCCATTCTGTCTCCCCCCGGACCAGAGCCCTTCCCATCTCTTCTGCTTGGGATACACTCTCCACCTCTCCACAGTTTTTCCTCCTTTCTACCCTTTCCTGCACTCTGACATTTTAATCACTGGTGGCGAACAACATGATTTTTCCCTCATGGACAGAGGACCTGCAGCACTTTACACTGGTTATGACCTCTGAATCTCGAGTAATTCTGAATTAGTTGGATTTCCTTCTGAAAGGCCACGATCTAACTGGCAGAATACTTTTAAGCAGAAATTTCCTGGCTCTTAACTCAATGCCTTTCTGGTTGTTTGGAATGCCTACCACCTGAATCCGATGAACTGGAAGTTTTAGAGTGTAAATACGAATTCCAGTGGAGACCCCACTCAGATCAGCAAAGACACAGAGAACTCTGTCTCCAGATCCCAAGAGTGAAGAATGCCCAAAGAAAGGGCATCATATGTGTGAAGGTGAACCCGAACCCAGCACCACACCCAAAGAATAGCATGCAAGACAGCCTTCCAGCAAAAGCAGAGACAGCCTCCAGGCTCCCAGGAACAGGGCTGTGGGTCTGAGGACCTCCAGGTACAGAGTGGACAAGCTCCTTTTTAACTGTCTTCCTGCAAAGTGACACTGCTTCCAGCTTAGAGCAGTGGCCGACCCAACAGGTGCAGGGAGAATGACCCAAAGGTTACTTCCCATATTAAATGCTGTTTGAAACCAGCCCAGTTCCTGCACAGATGAGTAAAATCAATTCCTGCAGGAATTCTCTGCTCGGCCCCCAAGGCAGCTTAACTGTGAAAAAACACACACAACGAGAATGTTACCCTGTCACATACCCAGGTTGCAGAGCAAAGCTGGAATAGATGCTGTGTACACAAACTGCGTGACCACCTCACATATGGCAGTTAAGTGGTTCATCAGGCCGCAGGGCTCCCCATCAGGAGTGTGCACGGGACAAAGGAAACCCCAAGACTCCGGCAGCAGCCTGCGCACTGTGGTGGTCCTCATCTTGGCAAAGTCAGCCCCTCTGTGCACACAGCGGAAATGGGAGAGATAGCGGATGAAGTTCAGCTTATCAGCCACGACACAAAGTCCAGAATTTTGCAGGAAGCCAAGACCTTAATAAAACAAAAGTCATTCAAAAATGGGCTCAACTTGAAAAAAAAAAAGGTATATTTTTATTTGAGGCTCTGATGAAAAGCCTCAGAGCACACTGTAAGTCATGGAGTGGGTGATTACAAAGTTCACTAGCTCAGATGAGCAGGGATACTGTACAAAAAGTAGTAAAAATCCCCAGATTTCACAAACTGTATCAGCCTTGCCTGGTTCCCTATTTCCTCCACATCCTCCACTGTGGGGAAACCATAAATAAAAAACAAAATAGCAAGTAATTAAATGGGATTCATCAGACAGGCTGATTAACACACAAGCAGTTGTTAGTTCTAAAAAAATCTCTATCAGTAGTAGCATCTATTTCAAAACTGCAGATTTCTGGGCCCTCAATTGCCACAGTTGAGTTTTCTAAGTCATTCTGATGCAAGTGGTTTAGGGCTGAGCCCACACAAGAACCCTCAGACCACCTGTCCATGTGACCTTCCTCAGACATCTTTAGTTTAGACAGAACTCTGAGCTGTCTTTAGTTTTCTAGGAGGCACAGGAAAATGTGATCATCAGAATTGGATTTAAACCATTCAGCACCTTGTCAAAAGCCCTTCCGACTGATATATACTTGTCAAAACTTATAATGTGAAATGTCTTTAGTGAAAAGGAAAAGTTCGCTTTTAAATAGAACCTCTCTTACTGATATAAACCTCCATTAAGCAAATAATTTGAAAAACACAACTAAAATGAAGACTATCTATTTTTTTGAAGCCTATCTATTTAATTTCACCTGTTTTGGAACGCAGATTCCCAGTAGCAAGAAGATACTCAAATGGTTTTGTAAGGTCTATTCCCAGACTTAAAATCTTCATCAAATTTTCACTGTTTATAGACATATTGGTCTTCTGAGCCTTCTTGTCCATACCTATTTTAACAGATACTAACCACGCTTCCATTTTTTCCTGAAATGAATAAATTACATGTTTACTTGAAAGGCTATATTGAAATTACCAATAACAGAAAACTTCTGCCTGATATTCATTTTTATCAGGGCAATTCTAGGCTGCTGAAAATTTTCAATCTAATTTCATGGTTAGATCAGACAGAAACAAAAGTTTTTATCTTTCAGTAAGAATTTAAATAAGCATTACTGACTAAATAAGGAATTAGGAGATTTTTACTTTAGTCTTCTCCATCTTTTATCCCACTATGTTATCTATTAGATTAAATCATTTTAGGGATAATATTCAAAATATGAAATACCACCAAATGAACTTACTTATGAACTGATCTGTGCTATGCCAACACTCTCTACACACACACACACACACACACACACACACACACACACACACACACACGGCTCTCGTGACTGACAGTTAACTATGCTCTGTAATGTTGCTGTGAACACTGAATTAGCAGGTACTAAACCTTTGCTCCTAGGTACAGACAGGATTAGGTTCCTCCAAGTCTCAAGTCACAACATTCTCGTCAACTGAGAAATACGTAAGCTGGTTTTGTGTGTGTTTCTGTTGAAAGATACCTTGTTTTATGTTGCTGATGTACTACCATCGGCCTCACAGCCAGCAGCACTTTAACTCGTGACTGACAAAGCTCATCTAACGCTCGTATGTTCTCGTAAGGCACATCCAAGCCTTCTTGTGCTCAGCACCTCACACAGCACTTCAGCACTATGCTTGTGGGCCATTTTTTAACAACAAAAATCACCAAGAAAAACACAAAAATGTGAAAAACATGGTACTAAATAAATAGACTCTCGTTCACAGCATGAGCTGAAGCAAGGCAGAGCATCACCTCCTAGACCTCAGCTGGGAGTGTGGGCATCAGGACACCCCAATTATTACCCCTCCAAGCACATCTGCAAAGGACCAGGAAAGCTGTGAATACTGATACTGGGCTTACAAGTAAACTTCAGTGAGGAGGGGAATTTGTAACAGGGACTCTGCAAAGGAGGGCTGACCGTCACTATATGCATACAGGCCACTTACACTTTATCATCAATGTCTGACCAAGATTTGATGTTGTCTTTACTTAGCTTACATGAAAATATCAGACATTTTTTAACCTGGTACAAGCTAGGACATTTGATTCTGTACCTTTCTGCTAGGCAAACAAACAACAAATAGAAAAAAGAGATGTACACTGCCAAAACAAGAACTTATGAACATGCACAAAACTACATCATGGGGTGTTATCACCTCAATCCAGAGGTACAATGGGGCCTGGGGGAAAGCAGTGTGCACCCACCTTCAGAAACATGAGGAAGAGCTGCCCGGGTGTGAGCACTTCCTGATTCACTAAACTATCAGGATTCTCCTCCATGCACTCTCCTTTGGCCAAAGCAAACAGCTTCCGGGTCATGAGACAAAGTACATAAAACTTCTCAGTATTGGATTTCAAGTGGATACAGATACACTGGCTGTCAAAATAGAAAGAAAAAGCTTAAAATGATTCAACTGCTTACCACTACTTGCCATTCTACTAACCAAGGCCCCCAATTCATGTTTACTTAAAAGTCCTTACTCATATTCAGAAAAATCCCTTTTCATCTTACAGCAACATCAGCAAAAGAGCAGAATACAGTCTCAAACAAGGTCTACAGCGGTGTTGGCCAACATGGTAGTGACAAGCCACAAGGACTATTTTAAATATTAATTAAAATGGAATAAAATTCAGAACTCAGTTTCTCAGTTGCACTGGACATTCAAGCACTCAGCATGGCCCACAGCTGTGCACTGGACCACGCTGACTTACAGCAGGTCACAAAGACAGAGCCCTTGTCTTGGGAAAATAAAGGGACATGATGCCTGCAACTTTCAAATGGTCAGAAGGAACAACATTTACTCATGTGCAGACAAGTAAAGCAAATATAGTAAACCTGTTAACAGTCAACATGAGTGTCCAATGTACTATCTTTGCAGCAATCCTGGAAGTTTGAAGTTATTTCAAACTAAAAGTTAGAAAGTACATTAGAATAAAACGATACTACCTAAAACCAGAGAAAGGTGAAGATGGCCACAGAAACAAAGCTAGCCCGCTTCGCCAGGCCAAAATTCAACCCGCATGACTCACCAGTCCCAACTACATCAACACAAAGAACCAGTGACACCCCCCAACCCCCAGTAAACAGTGTAGGCAAAAGCACGCATACTTAAACAGAAACTCTGCCGCTTGTTCATTTGAATACCAGTCAGGGAGACTAAGCTTTACTCTGAAGCGTTCACCTAGATAGTTAAGGACCTGCTTCTGTGTGGAACAACCTTCATCCATCACCATCCTTAACATCTGAGTAACAGAGTTCCTAAAGAAAGAGTTGTCCTCTTTTCCTTTGATGAGCTCCTGAAAAATCTGGTAATCGGAAAAGCTGACAAGTGCCTAGAATAGAAAAGAGATTTTTCTTTGTCATTGCTAATAATAACGAAACCATCCAATTCATTCGGAACAAGTCTCTCCTTTTCTATTTAATAACCGAGAAACACTAGCATTCCACCATTGTTAAACTGAAGTGAATTCTCCAAAGTAAGGGCACTTGGAAGACAGGCACCAAGATGGCCCCAATGATCCTCACCTCCTGGGATTCACAAGCCTGCATAACCTCCTCCCACATCAAATCAGAGCCCTTGTGACAAGAGAATATGGTGGAAAAGGTGACACCCAGCTCTCAAGGTTAGGCTACCAGGGGCACTGCAGCTTCCCTCCCTTCACTGGGGAAGACGGCCGCCCCAAGCAGCCTATGGAGAGGCCACTGGAGAGGAACTGAGACCTCCTGCCAACAGCCTGCACTGACTTGCCAGCCCGGAGGAACCACCTTGGAAGGGATCCTCCAGCCCTGGTCAAGCTTTCTACACAGCTCAGCCCCTGCGACATCGCTCTGCAACCTCTGAGACCCCAGCCAGAGCTGCCCACATTCCTGCCCACAGAACCTGTGAAGGAAAAACGTTCACTGAAGTGTTTTAAGCCACTGAATTCAGAGGTAATGTGTTATGGAGCAGTAGGTAACCAGTACAGCATGAACTCTGATAAGGAGAACCTATTCATTCTGCATAGGACACGCTTCCAATGACTCCCTTCATAACAAAAGAAATATACTCAGCAAGTCACACCTTAAGTGCGAATCCCAAAGGAAGAAAAAACAGTTCTTTCTGGTAAATAAAGTTCAACATAACTGTGCCATTTTCCAAGTAGTGAAGGTTCATATTGACAGCAGAGTGTTCTTCCCTCACACAGTGCATTGACACTCCTGTTGAAACAGAACAAAAAGCTGAAAACTCAGTAACACTGTAACTGCTTCAATCATTTCATTCTGAATTATTTTCACCTTCTTAGAAATAATTAAGAGCCATAACACTAAGTTTAGCCAAAATTGGCAACAAAATATGTCTTCAGACCTTGTCAAATTTCCCCCGAGGTGCAAAATCTCCCCCAAACAAAGGCCAGGTGGCTGCCAGCCCGCGACCCTGAGGGGAGTGCCATGGTACCTGAACCAGAAGACTTCTGGGGCCCACACCCACCTCTGGCAAAGTCAGGCTGGCCTCCAGCCTCAGACTAACATATACACACACGTTCTTTCAGTTTGAAAGATATCAGAAAGTAGATCTGCTACTATGAAATCTTAACACAGAAATGCTTAACAGAAAAATAAAATTTTATATACATACGAGAGAAAAATGTCAAAGACTCTATTTAGATGCATCTCATTTTTTAAAAAATGGCTTAAAACTTTTCTAAGACAACATTCTAAAAATCACTAGAGCTTACCATATTGAGTGTAGCCAGGCCCTCTAGCTTTCCATTTTGGTCTTATCATTGCAATAGGGAAATTTCTCCGAGGCATAATCAACATTCGGATGACCTTTTCAATGCCATTGATTATGAAATAGCCTCCCATTTCCTACCAAAGAGATGAATTATAATTTGTTAAAGATAAGTAACTGTGAATATGAAACTGACAAACTGCAAAAATTAACCTCCTAGCAGACCCTGTTCAAAGTGCAAAAGAGAGGAAAGTGCAGGTGAAGGGGGCCATGGATCCCCGGGAAGCTGTCAGTGTGTAAGTTAAGTCTTCTCAAGTACATGAAAAAGGTTTAGGGACCCGGAAGTATGGAAGGAAGTCGGTACTTTCTCTATCAGACAGCTTTGATCTAATTTGTCTTTCTGACCCCCAAAATGACCTTAGTCTTCAAATGACATTAAACAAACAAACACCTTATTTCAAAGAAAAGTCTGCAAATGAAAATAGCAACCATTTTGCCTCCAGACAAGTATGATTTCCCAAATACGTTAAAAAAACAACTGATGACCATATGAAATCTCCTGAAATCAGATATTAAAATTAATAGGAAAATTATTTTAATTGCTCATCAATATCACATTTCTGTAATAAAGAGCTACTATTAAGTAGGCATATCATACCAGGTGCTCTATGTTATCCTAACATTTAGTCCTCATAATAATGAGTAAGATAGCTATTGTGCCCATTTTTAGCAGAGGAAACAGGTCCAGGGAGATTAAACTTCCCAAAGCCATACAACCGGTAATACAGCAGCTGAATGTCAAACCCAGATCTGACACCAAACCCTCGTCCCACCAGGTAACAGTCTTTATTACAGACCGTCTGTAAGCTTGATTACTTCAACTCAATGCTGCAAAGTCACCTGACACAGCTAAAAAGAAATGCCAAAGGGAAAGCATATAAGGCACTTCATATCCTCACAGAATCTTACTGTTCGGTAAAGCAGACATCTTAGAAAATAGTTTTGTCGTTTAAGATGGCTTTAAAAACAGAAATATCTCTAAATATACACCATTCAGAAAATTAGGGAAAAACCTACCAATTATTTCCCCATCATAATAATAATATCCTAATTGCAGCCAGTTTTTCATACATTGCTTCATTTGAGACTCATTATGAGCTGTGCACAGTACGCAGACAAGAGATCAATGCTCCACGTTATCTATCCAAAATTAGAGGCGCAGAAAAAAACACTGACTCCCTCTGGCAAGCTTCATATCCTCTCATTCCCAACTCGGGCCCTTCCTATTGTCGCCTGCCCATTCAGTGCCCTGCACCCCTGAAATTACCTCTGGTTCCTCATGGTGCTCAATGAGGGCTTTTGGAGGAAGGTTGTATAAGTTGCAAAGCTTGGACTTCACCATGATGGGAACATAGCCAAGAAACTGCTTAATGGTTCCTTTTGAGATTCCGTTTACAGCCCAGCTGATATCAGCCTAAATGAAAAAAATTAGTTAGGAAAAAACAAAGTATTTGGATCTACAAGAACAAATGAGTATTTTAAAAGAGGAAAAAGACCATATACTAGATGATTTTATGCTTCAGATTTAAAAGAAGAGATCTCTTGGGTGACAGCACAAAGCAGAATTCTGGTTACATTTTATTGGACACCAATATTCGCAGACATGTCCAGCGTTTGAGTCGTGTACTGTCACTTGTACTCACTGTCAACTTTCCCCGGTAGGTGCTCCTCCTGCCCCGGCATTCTGCAGGATAAACATTGAGCTCCTTGCAGATGCTCCCTTTGGGAACAGTGGGGGCGCTGATGACGGCATCCACAATAGTGAGAGAGATCCGCTCATCTTTGAAAGCAAATTCAAAGGGAGGAATAGCCTGAAATACAATTCACATTATTAACTGCTTGCATGTCCCAGGTACCTCTTCACTGAGACTCTTCCAAAGCCCATGAATTTCCTACACACATTGTTGCCTCTCATGTTAATGTGGCATTAAAACGACAGCTAAAGCTACATCCAGTCTACTCACACCATCACTATGTACCAAAAAGCATACGGCGTTAACTTGGACATCTGAACATCTACCGTGTGTCAGCTTCTGCAGCAGGCTCTAGGGCAGCGGTTCTCAACCTGTGGGTCGCGACCCCTTTGGGGGTCGAACGACCCTTTCACAGGGGTCGCCTAAGACCATCGGAAAACACATATATAATTACATATTGTTTTTGTGATTAATCACTATGCATTAATTATGTTCAATTTGTAACAATGAAATTGGGGGTCACCACAACATGAGGAACTGTATTAAAGGGTCGCAGTACAGAGCTGTCCTCTGAACCAAGAGCCTGCCCTCTCTCTCCTTACCTTGTAGCTTCTCCACCCGTAGTAAACCACTGCTCTAGGGTGACCACTGTGTGCAGAACAGAGCTGTCCTCTGAACCAAGAGCCTGCACTCTCTCTCCTTACCTTGTAGCTTCTCCACCCGTAGTAAGACTGACAGGACTGCTGACAGAGCAAAGTTATGGAAGCACCTCCTGACTCAGGACCGGACACTCTAATGCCATTCTTTAGGCTGATAGTTGTGCATTTCATTCCACGTGGTCTCATACATGCCAAGGGAAAGGTGGTACCACCAGGTTCCCTGCCCCACCCCCCACCCCCTTCACAGCATCTGCTTTTCGGTATCCGCCCTCCTCCCCGGGAAAAGCTCTTCTGTTCCACTGAGCTCTCCTCGTGTTAACTAAGAACAATAAAGGTGGTACCACCAGGTTCCCTGCCCCCCCCTCCCCCTTTCACCGCATCTGCTTTTCGGTACCCGCCCTCCTCCCCGGGAAAAGCTCTGCTGTTCCACTGAGCTCTCCTCGTGTTAACTAAGAACAATGTGTTACGGTTGGAAGCTCAGCCCACGCGGGCCACTACCTCACCCTCCAGCACCTACTGTCCTACAAAGCACTGCGGCTCCCAATCCCATAAAAACCCAGGAACCACAGACACATCTTCCCCCGGTCGGCTTGAGCTCAAGCCCCGTGCTGCGGCTGCCACGATCAAGAAGCACAACTATTTGGGGTTCTACTGTGACCTCCAGCCATCCCCTCTGTCTGGGACCCTGTCCCCGGCCAGTGCCCCGCTCATCCCGCCTCCTGGG